ACATGATTTAGCCATTTTTGTTAATTCAGCAATGTTTTTCTGTATCAGATCAGTATCCAATCAGTATCGACCGACACTAAACCGCACATATCGGTATCGGATCGGAAGTGAAAAAAAAAAAAAAAGTGGATTGGTGCATCGCTATCTGGAACAGGGTAAATCTGGACTCTTCAGACCACATGACCTTCTTCCATTGCTCCAGAGTCCAATCTTTAGGCTCCCTAGCAAATTGAAGCCTTTTTTTCCAGTTAGCCTCACTGATTAGTGGTTTTCTTAAGGCTACACAGCTGTTCAGTCCCAATTCCTTGAGTTCCCTTCACATTGTGCGTGTGGAAATGCTCTTACTTTCACTATTAAACATAGCCCTTAGTGCTATTGTTTTTCTTTGATTTGATTTCACCAAACGTTTAAGTGATCGCAGATCACAATCATTCAGGATTTTTTTCCGGCCACATTTCTTTCTCGAAGACGATGGGTCCCCACTATCCTTCCAGTTTTTAATAATGCGTTTGACAGTTCTCAACTCAATTTTAGTAGTTTCTACAATCTCCTTAGATGCTTTCTCTGCTTGATGCATGCCAATGCCCTTCTCCAACAGACTGACATCTTTTCCACGACCACGTGATGTGTCTTTCAACATGGTTGTTTAAGAAATGAGAAGCAACTCATTGCACCAGTTGGGGTTAAATAACTTGTTGCCAGCTGAAAGATAATCGCCTATGCAATAATTATCCAATAGGTGGCTCGTACCCATTTGCTTAGTTAAATCCAGAGGGCAACTTTTCTTTGGCCAGGCAGTGTATATTCTATATAAACTGCAGTCAATTTTGCTGGCAATGTGTCAGAAGTAGGGGTTGAACGAGTATATACATTTTAAACTCAACATTAACATAATAAAACCCGAGTAGAACTCGAGTATTTGATGACGTCATAGATCTCAAGATACAAAAATAAATAAATATATAAAACCGAAATAAAAGGTAATTATTTACAAAAAAAAAAGACCAACAAAACATTGGGAGTGTATATTATGCTCCTACCATTTATCATACTGCAAATAAGTCACAGGAAAAACTAAACTATTAGTTATTGTTATTAAACTGCAAACGTGAAGAAACGTGCAGCACGTCAAAAATGAAACTTAACCAAAACTGGTTCCGTGGATTGGATCCGGTATTACACCATACTCCGTGACCTGCAACATTGCAACACCGCCCCCTACGGTCATACGGTGGTCACATAATATGACGTCACTACGGATACTCGACGTAACATTTTGATGTGTAGATTACTCGAGTACTCTGTTAATGTCCTAGTCAGAAGGTATTTATTTATTTATTTTTAGGGACAATTATTAACCCTCAAATTCTCCTTTAACATTACGACAATAGCTGTTCCTCAGAATAAAATATTACTGTAAAAGTGCAGAAAAATACCACTTATTAAGATTTTTGTCCACCAACTTTTATTAAACCTTTTTAAGCTACCTCAGCCTTAAAATAAATACTCAAATTTCAACGACTTTGCAAAAAGTTATCTCCTTACGGGCTTTTAGTTTTACAAAACTCCACCATTCAGTTTATTTTTAAATCCACACATTTTCACCCTCTTATGATTTTTTTTAAACATATGTATATATATATATATGTATATATATATATATATATATATATATATATATATATATATATATATATATAGTCAAGTTTTTTTGGACAACCTTCCACCAATAGCCAAACAGGAGGCCCTGTTTTCACTTACGTTTGCACAAATTGATCACTGTTGGCAATTGATTTTTTAAAATTTTTTATGTTTGTTTAAATTTGGTTCAGTGCTTCTCCGACCACTGTCCAAAGAGGGCGCCCTGCCCTGTCAACAGCACCCTGCCTACAGACACCCCACCTCAGGCAGCCAACAGTTCTGCCACTTATGGACCAGCAGCGAATATTTTATCAGCTCAAACCTAGCATTAGTACTGCAACGCTCTGCTAAACACCCCCCACCTAGTGAACTGTTTTGTACCAAATGTTTACTCGTGCACAACACAAGCGTATTTTTGCTCTTTACATGTGAATTAAAACAATTTCTTTAAAAAATTTTGTTTCAACAGCGTCCCTCAAATGTGAAAGTGGAGCTCCATTTAATGGGCTAACATAAACAGTCAAAGTGGATGGAGATCCCCCATGAAAGTAATGCATTATTTCATGATTGGATATAGAGGATCAAAAAAAAATTTTTTAATGGGTTTCAATGGACTGATTTTACCTGAAGGGATGTTAAAGGGTAATAAAATGACAGCGATTGCAAGAGCATTTGAAATGATTTTGATAAAGTAAAAAAAAAAGAAACACCTTTTTCTCTGTGGTAATATAGAGGTGGCTGTGAGCAAGATCAAAAAACAGGTTCTTGTTGACCTTCTCCCCAAAGGTGTCACCAGGAGCCTTGCTGTACTCGTCTGCCTCTGTGTTCAGGTGTACCTTGAAGAAAAAAGGTACAACACTGGTAGGCATAAAGCTTATTATTAACTCACACAATTCCCCTCAGGTACAAGTTTATAGGGAGGAAAATTGAAAAGCAAATGCAACAGATAAGCACAATTGCACCTTGAAGACCTCTCCCTGGTTATTGCCCAAGAAGGCAATGGTATGATCATTTTCCACAGCAACAGCCACAGAGGTCAGAAGGCTTGATGTGCTCCACACTGCATTTGCCTTTAAGGCAAATTTTGGTTTGCTTGTCAGAGGGGAAGCCAGAAATTCTGCACCACATTTGTAGTTTTCCAACATGTCCTTCTGCAAAGAGAAAATATTGCATATTATGATGATTAGAGCATACTCCCTTTAATCAAAACAAAACTCAATGTACAGTGAAGAAAATAAGTATTTTAACATCCTGCGACTTTGCAAGTTCTCCCACTTAGAAGTCATGGAGAGGTCTGAAATTTTCATCTTAGGTGCGTGTCCACTGTGAGAGACATAATCTAAAAAAATAAAATAAAAAAAATTTAATCCAGAAATCACAATGTATGATTTTTAAAATAATTTATTTGTGTGTTACTACTGCAAATAAGTATTTGAACACCAGTGAAAATCAATGTTAATATTTGGTACAGTAGCTAGCCTTTGCAATTACAAAGGTCAAACGTTTCCTTTAGTTTGTCACCAGGTTTGCACACGGCAGCAGAGATTTTGGCCCATTCCTCCACACATATCTTCTATAGATCAGCCAGGTTTCTGGGCTGTCGCTGAGAAACACGGAGTTTGAGCTCCCTCCAAAGATTTTCTATAGGGTTTAGGTCTGGAGACTGGCTAGGCCACTCCAGAACCTTGATATGCTTCTTACAGAGCCACTCCTTGGTTATGCTGGCTGTGTGCTTCAAGTCATCTTCATGTTGGAAGACCCAGCCACGACCCATCTTGAATACTCTAACTGAGGTGAAGGAGGTTGTTCCCAAAATCTTGCAATACATGGCCCCGGTCATCCTCGCCTTAATACAGTGCAGTCGTCCTGTCCCATGTGCAGAAAAACACCCCCTCACAGTAGGGATGGTGTTTTTGGGATGGTACTTATCATTCTTCGTCCTCCAAACACAGCGAGTGGAATTAAGACCAAAAAGTTCTATTTTGGTCTCATCGGACCACATAACTTTCTCCCATGACTCCTGTGGATCATCTAAATGGTCATGGACAAACTTAAGACGGGTCTGGACGTGTGCTGATTTAAGCAGGGGAACCTTCCGTGCCATGCATGATTTTAAACTATGACGTCTTAGTGTATTATCCACAGTAACCTTGGAAACAGTGGCGCCAGCTCTCTTCAGGTCATGGACCAGCTCCTCCCGTGTAGTTCTGGGCTGATTCCTCACCTTTCTTAAGATCATTGATACGCCATGAGGTGAGATCTTGCATGGAGCCCCAGTCCGAGGGAGATTGACAGTCATGTTTAGCTTCTTCCATTTTCTAATAGTTGCTCCAAAAGTTGATATTTTTTCACCAAGCTGCTTGGCAATTGCCTCGTAGCCCTTTCCAGCCTTGTGGAGGTCTACAATTTTGTCTTTGGACAGCTCTTTGGTCTTAGCCATGTTAGTAGTTGGAGTCTTACTGATTGTGTGAGGTGGACAGTTGTCTTTATGCAGCTAACGACCTCAAACAGGTGTTTCTAATTTATAATAATAAGTGAAGTGGAAGTGGACTTTTTAGAGGCAGAGTAACAGGTCTTTGAGGGCCAGAATTGTTGCTGATTGGCAGGTGTTCAAATACTTATTTGCAACAGTAACACACAAATAAATTATTTAAAAAATCATGCATTGTGATTTCTGGATTTTTTATTAGATTGTGTCTCTCATAGTGGACATGCAACTAAAATGAAAATTTCAGACCCCTCCATGATTTCTAAGTGGGAGAACTTGCAAAGTAACAGGGTGTTCAAATACTTATTTTCTTCACTGCAAAACTTCCTTCAAAATGTTAGATTTATTAAATGTGTTGTTAATACAGTAGCCTTTTTATTCATTATTTTACTGCTCAAAACTTCAATAAGTTACACTTACTGCCATTTTTGATGAGCAAACATCTGTTTTGAATGATGAGTAGGGGACGTCCACCGCAGAATCTCCTGAAATCTTTCCAGAGTCACTGTAACAAGCGGTGATGATATCCACCAGCTTCTCATTGATGAAGTTAAGGGGATACATGCAGAGACCAGATTTATGTTCATCCTCATCTGAACTGGCCACCATAAACAGGACTTTATTCCATGGGACTACTTTCCCGTACAAACCTGATTCAGTCATGGCCCGAGCCAGTTCTTTGCCTGGAGAAGCCACAAAAGCAGCTTGGACTTTGTTGTACTGGTTATTTGGTCCACAGTTTAACTGCAGCTCGGTGTGGGAATAGTAATGGGGATCGTTTTCACAAAGACGGGAAACAAAGGTTAGGTTTTTAATATCCGTACCATCAAGTGTCCGTGAAAAAAGGAAATAAACAAAGCCATTGTCTTTGAAGGCATACCGGAAGACATGCAGGTACTTGGGAGCAAATGGTGTCGTCTGTACTGCAGAAGCTTCAATGATGCTCTCAAACACGACCCATTCCTTGTAGTCCTGAAGAATTCGTGTGCTGATGAGTTTCGTACTGTCCAGTTCTCCATAGCCCTTGCCAACCAGAAACACGTCAAAGGTGTGTCCATCTTTTTCATATGTAGACACTACTCCTACTACATTAACATTGTCCTCTATGCTGGCAACATAAGTCCTCTCTCCTTTACTGTCACTGTAATACAGCTGCTGCTCCACATTTGAAAGGTTGAGAAGGGAGCAAATGCCTCTGTAGCGACTGCCGCAGACTATGAGGGAGCCATTGGATGGGTGGATGAGCAGAAGCTTGTTGAGGTTATCCATGAACATAGTCTTCTGGCAGGCTGAAGCTGGAGGTGTGCAGGTACGGGCATCTACTTTGGGGCCGGTCTCAACGCGAGCTTCAAGGTGGAGAGTCGGCCCAAGTTGGAAGATTGCATTGACTGCTCCCAGGTAAATGCGGCCTGTCTGGGGGTCCTGGACCACATTGTTAATGACGGTCTCCGACGTGAACTCCAGAACTGGAATGTTGTGATTCTCCTTCAGGGCTTGCAACTTGTACTGGCACAAAAAGAAGAGGAGAAGGTAGACCAAGCTGTCCATTTCTGTCAGGAACAAAAAAGAAAAAGGCACTTTTATTATCACTGAAGTAAATGAACATAAAAATGTGCATTAAGTGTCAGAAGGAGCAGGTTTCAACTGTAGGAGTATGGTTAACAAAAAAACATATATATCGATATATACACTCACAATAATTTATGCAAAGGTAGATGCCAGATAATGTACACTTAAAAAAATTGGTTACGTACTGTAACCCCCAGATTCTGAGTATAGGCTTTGCCCTTTAAAAGCTGTCGCTGGTGGGTTTACAGGTCGCACTGTCGAGGATCCGATTGAAAAAAAAAAAAGAGAGCTGCAGCAGCTGCACTGGGAGGAGGCGGGGCTGCCCAAATGCAGCAGAAGCGCAGCAGTTTCTGTGCAGCGCAGCGCTCCAAGTAAAGCAGGAGATACCCAGATATTTTGGTTTTGCCCTCACTGCTCTGGGACCCTTAGAGATCATGGGCCCCTGGGCAGTTGCCCAGTTGCCCATATGGTTAATCCGGCCTTGGCTGGACCTGAACTTCAGAGCAGCAAAGAAGTTGCAAACAGCGCAACAGCGAGCGGGCTGGGTGTGTGTGTATGTGTGTATGTGTGTGTGTGTGTGTGTGTGTGTGGTTGTGTTGGTGGGTCCAGTGGAACGCGCTCACAAGAGAAGAACCTGACAAGTTGTTTAATGACATAAAATATATTTTGTTAGCAAAGAATAGAGACCTAACATTTATTAAACATTACTTCTGTATTAAAAAACATCAAAATTGTGCTTTGACAAAACAAAACAAAAAAAACGTTAAAGTGAAAGTGGGGCAGGTAACTAACGGGTGCTGTGGGTGACGAGTGTCACCAGCTGCTCAGCAGCAGAGGGAAGCAACAATGGCTCCTCAAATGACAAGAGAGACATATTTGTTCATAACTTTATTATTATTAAAACTGAGAGTTGCCGGATTTTAGCAAACAGTTGCCGAACGCACCCTGACAAAATGAGAATGCTGCAAAAAAAAAAGAGAAAAAAAACCCCTCCCTGCCGCAAAATGTTCCTCGGGGTCACATGCGCCCCCCCGGCATTGCTCCTGGCCTCCCCAGGGGGGCGCACCCCACTATTTGAGAAGGACTGCACTAAGGACAGAATGTGTCATGGAACAAGCAGACATATCACGTAAATAAAAGCGAATAAATGAACAGGGTGTTGACCACGCAGCCGCAGTGCAAATATCCTGCATTGTCATACCATTATGCAAAGCAGTCGAAGATGCGATACCTCTGGTCGAGTGCGCCCTGAGGTTGTCAGGAGGCTCTAAATCTGATGCTCTGTAGGCTTCAGAAAGGGCCTCACATAGCCAGTGTGACAGGCGCTGGGTGGATAACGGGCGACCTGCAGATGCGTCTCTATAGTGCACAAACAAATGTTGAGTCTGACGCAGTGCCACCATGCGTGCTACGTAACACGTCAATGCACGCACAGGGCAGAGAAGATGGAAAGATGCTTCTTCTTCTGATTTGTGGGAGGAGGGGAAAATCCCTCCAATGATATCACTCTTGATTTAAATGAGCTTGTGATGTTTTTAGGCATAAACGCTAGGTTAGGTCTCAGATCAGCTGAGCTGCCATCAGCCTGAAATATGAGACATGACGGCGCGACAGAGAGGGCAGAAAAATCACTCACCCTCTTTGCGGATATTAAAGCCAACAGCAGGGCTGTTTTAAGAGACAAGAATTTAATCGGAACCTGATCTAGTGGCTCGAATGGAGCTTTGATCAGGGCTCGCAGAACCAGCGTTAAATCCCACTGTGGAGAAAGTGGGCGTGATACAGGCCTGCGCCTCTGTACACCTTTTAAAAAACGCTTAATCAGCAGATGATTAAAAGCTGTTCTGTCCCCGAAACCTTCGTGCCAAGAAGAGATGGCTGCAGCGTACGTTTTAATCGTGCTGAACGCCAGATTTCTGTCTATCAGCTGCTGCAGAAAGGACAGCATGCCACCTAGTGGACATGAGGTGGCCTCTACACCTTTCTCCGTACACCAGCGCTGAAAAGCTGTCCACTTTGATGTGTACAGCACTGTGGTGGAGGCAGCACGTGAATCCTGGATCGTGCGCACTACATCTTGAGAGAGACCCATCCTCTCTAAACGGATCCGCTCAGCGGCCAGACCCAAAGGTGCTGGCCTATTTCTGGGTAACTCCTGATCGCTCCTCCCACCTGGAGGAAAGCATCCTCCCTCCACGGCAGTTTCCACGGGCGACCCGATAACAGGTGTCGTAGAATTGGGAACCATGGGGCGTTCACGCACTCGGGAGCCACCAGGAGGGCTGTCAGTCCCTCCTCCCAAACTCGGTTCAGAAACCGTGATATCAGAGGGAGTGGGGAAAATGCGTAAATAAGCATTTTGGGCCACGGGCTGTGAGCAAACGCGTCCACCCCTAGCGGTGGTTCGTCCCGCGGTTTCAGTGAGAACCATAGTTGACACTGAGCGTTCTCTCATGTGGCAAACAGGTCCATGGCCGCTCTGCCAGATTTCTGCCACGTCTAAGCCATTAGCTCGGGATGGAGGCTCTAGTCCCCGTGATGCGGACCGCTCCTGGACATCACATCCGCTCCTCTGTTCAGAACGCCGGGGATGTACACTGCTCTGATGGAGAGCAGATTTTGGTGTGTCCAACACAGCAGCCATCTCGCAATGTGTAACATTTGGGCTGAGTGCACACACCCCTGCCGGTTTATGTATGTTGCAGTCACTTTGTTGTCTGTGTGAATCAGAACATGTTGATTCTGCAGCACAGGAGCAAAATGTTGAATCGCATTCAAAACCATGCGACATTCCAAAACATTTATATGAGCTGCTGTGTGGGGTGGCCACAGCGTCCCCACAGCTTGGGACATGCATGTGCCTCCCCAGCCTGACAGGGACGTGTCTGTGAAAACTGAGACGTGTGACATAGGTCTGCTGACAGGAACTCCCTCCGACAGGACAAGAGGGTTTCCCCAGTGTCTCAGGTCAATTCTCACGGAGGGGGGCACAACAATCAACCGTCTCTTTTGCCTCATTGGGTCCACACGCAAACGAGAAAACCACCTCTGGAGGCGTTGCACCGTGTGAGCAGACGACATCGTCCCTAATAACTTCATGAAGGAAACAGTGGTTATCACTCTGCCGGGCTTCACGTGGCGGAGCTGGTCCTTTAGAGCTTCGGTTCTCGTCTGAGATAAACGAGCCCTCATAGTGACCGAGTTTAGCTCCACTCCCAGATAAATGATCGTCTGGGCTGGGTGAACTGAGCTCTTCTCCCAGTTTATGGTGAAGCCCAGATTTTGCAGGTGTGACGTCAACGCCCGAGTTTGCACTGCTACCTCCTGTCTGGAACGGGTCAGCAGCAACAGATCGTCCAGATAAAACAGAATTCTCATCCCTGCTTTGTGTAGCAGCTGCAGAGCTGACTCCACGCATTTTGAAAATGTGCATGGCGTGAGGGAATACCCTAACAGAAGTCTGTTGTATTGATACTGGGTCCCTTGAAAGGAGAAGCGCAGGAACTTTCTGTGCTTTGGAATGATCGGAATGTTGTCTAACAGTTGTCTGGTTGTCAACATGTGAAAATGTCTCTCCATGATCGACTTGTTGAAAATTGATAAATCCAAGATGGGTCCCATCCCTCCGGTCTGTTTTGGGACCATGAAGTAACAAGAATAAACCCCTGTGTGTTTCCTCTCTGTCTTGAACCCTGGAAATTACATTTTTTGTCAGAATTTCCTGAACTTCTGCGTGGAGGAACGAGATCTGTTCTGGAGATGACAGAACCATCTCTAAAATTCCTCAGAATGGGGGGGGGGGGGGGGGGTTGTTGAGCTGCACACTGCAGCGTGTATCCCCTGCTGATAAGACGGTTCATCCATCTGTCTAGAGCGCAGGCTCGCTGCCACTCCGCGTAACGTTCGGGAAGCAGGCACGTGTTTTTGTGCTACGTTATGTTTTTTATGGATGCCAACCAAGTTACAGCCTCCACCGTCATCATGTGCTGCAGAGGCGTACTCCGAGCGACCCAAGGGGAGGTTTCCTCGAAGGGGCCCTGAAGGCGCCTCTGTGCCACGCTCAGGCTGCGGGCTCACATCCATGCTGATGTGAGCAGGCATGCGCTGAGGGGAGGCGTGCGCACCCATGGCCATGCGGTGCCGTTTAGGTGAGGGCTGCCACTGCCGCGGGGGCGTGCGTTTATCACCGCTGCGGTCAGAGGAGGCAGCGCACAGCCTGGGCTGAGAGCAAGGTTTCCCACTGGACTCGGTCTGCTGAAAACATTCATTTTTGGCTGCTGTGTCACGCGCGCATTTTGTGTGTTTACTCGAGCTGCGGTGATTTTTAAAAACCTGTTTTGAGGACACTGGCTCGCTTTGTGTGGAGGATGTGTGAGGAGAAGCCACTGTGAGATCATTCAAACTAACAGTCAGGCTGAAATCAGACACTTTAATTTCTGAATGATGTTTACGTTTTATTTCAAAACTCAAGCCATCATTGTACACATACACATCCTCTGCAAGGAGTCATTTTTTGAATCTTCTCCTCTGTGAGCCCTGCGTCTGGTTGTTCCAGGGCGGCGCCTGTTGACGGTCTCCGGGGAAACGCTGCACCGCTGGTTGCCGGGATGAGGAGGGCTGTTCTCTGATGGGTGGGGCTGGCAGCGAAGCGGAGCAAGAAGACGCTACTGCAGCTGTGGAACGTCTCTGCTGCTGCCTCTGGCCATGGCGCTCTCTCCAGAGGGCGGGGGGAGCGAGAGGAGTGCAGCTTAATCAGATGGCACACAGTCTCAGACACCTCCTCCGGCTTCTTCAATTTCTCAAGCATGGCCTTGAAATTGGCTCAGAACAGCGCATCCGTTGTGATGGAGCCCTCCAACAAGTCCTTCTGCAGCTTCTCCGGCAGGGAGGGGGAGTGACGGAGCCAGGTGGACCTCTGGATCATCGTCATCCAGGCTGCGATGCGAGACAGGCAGACAGCAGAGGAGGCGCACAGGTTGAA